TGCCATGACTCCTTGCCCCATCCCTTCTGCCTCCCTTCTCTCTTCTCTTCATTCTTTCCCATTAGTTTAATTTTAATGGCCAATAAAAAAACTAACCTTCTTAAGTAAACTCAAAGCCTATTGTGGTCATTCTTCACCCTTGGAAAAGGAAAGAAGGTGTCACTACTTAGTTTGTTGTTGTTAATTCCGAAGTTGTGTCCGACCCATCACAACCCCATGGACAACGTTCCTCCAGGCTTTCCTGTCCTCTACCATCCTCTGGAGTCCATTTAAGCTCACGCTGACTGCTTCAGTGACTCCATCCAGCCACCTTGTTCTCTGCCGTCCCCTTCTTCTTTTGCTCTCAATCTTTCCCAGCATTAGGGCTCTTCTCCAGTGAGTCCTTCCTTCTCATTAGGTGGCCAAAGTATTTGAGTTTCATCTTCAGGGTCTGGCCTTCTAAAGAGCAGTCAGGGTTGATCTCCTCTAGGACTGACTGATTTGATCGCCTTGCAGTCCAAGGGACTCGCAGGAGTCTTCTCCAGCACCAGAGTTCAAAGGCCTCAGTTCTTTGGCGCTCAGCCTTTCTTATGGTCCAACTTTCACAGCCATACATTGCAAGTGGGAAAACCATAGCCTTGACTATACGCACTTTTGTTGGCAGGGTGATGTCTCTGCTTTTTAGAATGCTGTCTAGATTCGCCATAGCTTTCCTCCCCAGGAGCAAGCGTCTTTTAATTTCTTGGCTGCAGTCCCCATCTGCGGTGATCTTGGAGCCCAGGAAAATAAAATCTGTCACTACCATTTCTTTCCCATTTATTTGCCAGGATACTACATACGGTGGTTAGGCAACAGCATATCGGCTGGTCTGAAAAAGCTAACAGGGATCAGAATTGATCAATTCTTGGATGGCAATCCACCAGAAAGTCCAGGGCTGTAAAATAGATGTGTGTGTGTGTGTGTGAGAGACAGAGAGAGAGAGAGGTGGTATTCAGCCAGTTCTGAACGATTCGGACGAACCGGTAGTAGCGACCTGCGGGTGGGCCCGCACCAGGGGTGAAATCCAGCAGGTTCTGACAGGTTCTGGAGAACCGGTAGCGGAAATTTTGAGTAGTTTGGAGAACCGGCAAATACCACCTCTGGCTGGACCCCGAGTGGGGAGGGAATGGAGATTTTGCAGTATCCTTCCCCTGCCATGCCCACCAAGCCACACCATGCCAACCAAGCCACGCCAACAGAACCGGTAGTAAAGAAATTTGGATTTCACCACTGGCCCACGCCCACCCACCTGGGCGCAATCCCGTCCTATATCGCTGTGTTTCTGATGCTGCATGCATGCGCAGACCATACGTGTGAGCAAATTGCCTTGTTTGATATCACACCCATGTGTGGATGGTGCACGAGCGAATTGCCATGTTTTGTGATGCTGCACACACGCATTGATGGCATGTGCACACTCACATTTCCGGTGTTAGCCGAACCAGTGGTATCTGTATGTGAAACCTGTTGAGGATAAAACTGCCCTCTGCAAAGTAGTACAACGGACCAGACAGCGAATAGATACGATGCGTAGCAAAACACACAGTCACAGACTCTGGACGTTTAAAGAAAAATAAACAGTCTTTACTTGTAGTATAAAAACAAACTTGGCTTCTCAAAACAACATCTTCAAACAATCACGGTTTAACACAAAACATAGTTCAACCTTCAATAGCAGGAGCAGAAGCCGAAGTGAGAGCAAGAGTGAACGAACTTCCTGCCTTCCTTATATGTCTGCTTAGCACAGCCAATTAGTCATCTTTGTAGCAGTTAAAGTTACAGAAGATAGTTTTCTATATATTATCTACCCAACCGTAGGATAAGCATCCAACAAAACCCACCTTGGGGGGGGGGGTGGTACGTGTGCGTGTGTGCACATGCTTTCAAGTTAGTTTGGACTCTTTGCAACTGCCTGGATATCTCTCTGCTCTCCAGAGCTGGCAGCTTGGATGAAAGAAAAAAGGAAGTTGAAACGAGAAGAGAGTGAGAGAAATTAAAAGTGGTCTGACTACAGGCGGTCCTTGATTTACAACCATTCGTTTAGTGACCGTTCAGAGTTACAATGCACTGGAAAAAAAAGTGACTCGTGACTGATTTTCACACTTATAGCCATTGCAGCACAGATCATGGTCACGTGGCCAAAATTTGGGCATTTAGCAACTGGCATGCGTTGATGACAGTTGCATCTCCGAAGCTTACCTGTCAGAGTTTAGGCAGCATAAGTAGCATTATTAGATACAGCCAGGAGCTATAACACAGCACACAGAGCTTTTTAGATATATACAGTGAACTATACAAACATATATGTGATTCAATACCTTTACAGCTACAGATACATGGAGGAGCAATAATACACACCGAGAGAACAAGAAGTATAATGCAGGATGAGAAGGCTTGAGGAGGAACGCCCTCTAATGGCTTCCTTTATATAGGCAGCTTCTGACCCAGTTCCTTAAAGTGGCAGTAACTCTGCTGCCTCATTCTGTTGCATCAGCTTCCGGCTTACAGCTTCCCATCAGCTTACAGCTATTAACTCTTTCATACCCTGACATTACCATTTGTGATCTTCCCAGCTGGCTTCCAACAAGCAGTCAATGGGGGAAGCCAGATTTTCCCCTGGGACTATTGTAACGCTCTCTACATGGGGCTGCGTGGGTGGTGACGGGAGTGACGTGGCGCTCCCATGTAACACCTCTCCTGCGCGAGCTGCACTGGCTCCCGGTGGTCTTCCGAGTGCGCTTCAAGGTTTTGGTTATCATCTTTAGAGCGCTTCATGGCTTAGGACCTGGTTATTTACGGGACCACCTGCTACCACCAATAGCTTCCCAACGACCAGAACGCTCCCATAGAGAGGGGCTCCTCCAGGTGCCGTCGGCCAAACAATGTCGACTGGCGGCCCCCAGGGGGACAGCCTTCTCTGTGGGGGCACCTACTATCTGGAACGAGCTCCCCCCGGAGATACGGAGGATCCCAGATCTGCGTACCTTCCGTCGCGCGCTCAAGACTTTCCTATTTCATCAAGCCGGCCTGACCTAAGTCTTTCCCCTTTTTAAATGGAAATTTTAAATTTGGTTTTAAATTATTGGGGTTTTAAATTTGTTCAGCCAAATTATTTAATTCGTTTTAGTCTATTTTAAATTTTGTATTTATATGTTTTATTCTATGGCTGTTCACTGCCCTGAGTCCTTCGGGAGTAGGGCGGTATACAAATTCAATAAAATAAATAAAATAAATAAAATAAATAATGACCTATGATCCACTTAACAACTGCAGGGATTTGCTTAGGAACTCTTCCAAAAAAGAGTTGCTAAAATGGGGCGTAACTCATTTAAAAACCATGTTGCTTAGCAACAGAAAGATTGGGCTCAATTGCGGTTGTAAAACAAGGATTACCTTTATAGAGAGAGAGAGAGAAAAGGAATGTGTCAGGGTTCCGAATATGTCTGCACATCCTTTCATGTAGCCTGGAAGAACCTACCTTATGCGATCCCATTGCAAACCAATAATAAAGGTAAGTAGAACCCACCCCTGCTCTATACAATTTCAGATAAGTGGCTGTCCAATCTCTTCTTAAAAGCTTCCAGTGATGAAACACCCACAACTTCTGTTCCACTGGTTAATTGTTCTCACTGTTAGAAAGTTTCTCTTTAATTCCAGGTTGCTTCTCTCCTTGATCAGTTCCCATCTGTTGTTTCTTGTCCTGCCTTCAAGTGATTTGGAAAAAAAGCTGACCTCCTCCTTTTGGTGGCAGCCTCTCAAATACTGGAATATACTGCTATCAGGTCTCCTCTAGTAGTCCTTCTTTTCTCTAAACTAGCCAAGCTCAAATACTGCAAGCATTCTTTTGTTCTTTCTGCGCCAACTCAGAAAGCTCAAACTGCCCAAGGGGCTGCTGATCCAGTTCTACAAAGGAATTATTGAGTCTGTCATCTGCACCTCTATAACTGTCTGGTTTGGTTCTGCAACCCAACAAGGCAGACACAGACTTCAGAGGATAATTAGAACTGCAGAAAAAACAATGGCTACCAACCTGCCTTCCATTGAGGACCTGTATACTGCACGAGTCAAAAAGAGGGCTGTGAAAATATCTACAGACCCCTTGCATCCTGGACATAAACTGTTTCAACTCCTACCCTCAAAACAACACTATAAAGCACTGCACACAAGAACAAGTAGACACAAGAACAGTTTTTTCCCAAACGCCATCACTCTGCTAAACAAACAATTCCCACAACACTGTCAAACTAGTTATTAAGTCTGCACTACTATTAATCTTCTCATCGTTCCCATCACCCATCTCCTCCCACTTATGACTGTATGACTGTAACCTTGTTGCTGGTATCCTTAAGATTTGTATTGATATTGTTTCCTGATTGCTTATTTGTTCCCTATCACTATCATTAAGTGTTGTACCTTATGATTCTTGACGAACGTATCTTTTCTTTTACGTACACTGAGAGCGTATGCACCAAAGACAAATTCCTTGTGTGTCCAATCACACTTGGCCAATAAAGAATTCTATTATTCTATTCTATTCTATTCTATTCTATTCTATTCTATTCTATTCTATTCTATTCTATTCTATTCTATTCTACCCTACCCTACCCTACCCTACCCTACCCTACTCTACTTACCCTGGGAACCCACCATGAAGAAAAGCTTCATGAAGTCAATCAGACTTCAGGGAATTCCCTTAACGCCTTTAACCCGGCCACCGACCGAGCCCTTTTCCCAGCTCGACGGGCCCCCCAGCCTCGAACGACGGGCCCCCAACCGAATCCTCAACGCCGGCCAAGAAAGCAGGACAGTGCCAGAACTGAACCCGTCTCCGGAGGACGGGAGCGTTGCAGGGACTCCTCCGCGACGGCAGGGGCCGCTGTGGGCAAGAGTGCCCTGCCGCCCCTCCGGCCTTCTTCCGCCTCTCGCCGAGACGCGCGGGGGGGGGGGGGGGGGGGGGAGAAAGCTCGCGCCGAGGGAGAAAAAAAAGCGAGGCGGGGGCCGCGGAAGCGCGGTGAAGCGGCGGCGGCGGCGGGGTTGAGCGGGGCAGGCTTCCCCGTCGCCCGCCCCTCGGCCCGGGCGCCCTGGAGCGGCGAGAGCAGCATGGCCGCCAGCCTGTGGATGGGAGACGTGAGTAGTAGTGGCGGCGGTGGGGGGGGGGGGGGGGGGCGGGGGGGGGGGGGGGGGGGGGGGGGGGGGGTCTAGCTGGCTAAGCCCCCTCGTGCAGGGAGAGTTTGGGGCTGAGGGGTCGCTGCCCGGTCCTCACCTCACGGGGCGGGCGGGAGCCGAGGGGGTGTGCCGCCAATTCGTCGAGGGGGCTTTCTGGATAGGCGAGGAGGAGACCCCCTTGAGGTGGGGGGGGGGAGGATGAAGCTGAGGAGGGGGTCCCCGCTGTCCTCCGCAGTGGCGAAGTGCCTGGAGTTCCCCCCTCGCTGGGTGGCTGGTTCTTGAGAAGGAATTAGAAGCCCCCCCCCAGATCCGTATGGCGCCCCTCTTGCTTGGGGGAGGGGGCTTAAAGACCCCCCCCCAAAGTCCTGGCTCTGCTTCCCAGACCGGGGGTGGGTGATGGGGGGGGAGAGGGTCGGATTTTAATGGCTCCCAGTGGCTGGGTTGCTTTGTCCTGCTTCCTGGTCTTTACTTTTGCGGGGTTTTTTTTGGGGTGGGGGGTTTGGGGTGGGGGGGATGTTGTAAGGCCAGAGTCTTCTGGAAAGGGGTGAGCACAACAGCAATAGGATTTTAGACTTGTATCCATACCGCTTCGCAGGGCTTTACAAACCCCTCTTAAGGGGTTTTACAAAAAGTTCAAAACATTCTTAATCATCCTGGGCACACACACACCCCCTTTTTTTTTTTTTGAACTATTACCATCTGGCAGACGGGTACAGGATCATTAAAAACAAGGACAAATAGCCTGAAAAACAGCTTCTATCCCAGGGCAATAACAATATTGAATTCTACGGTATAATGCAATATCAATTCTCTCCGCGCCCCCCCTCCCCATTTTCAATTATATAGGATGTATGTTTGTGTTTTTATTTTTATACTTATAATGTACACTGGAGACGGCATTTAATTTCGTTGTGCCATGTGCAATGACAGTAAAGTAAACTAAGTACAGAGTCGGCATATTACTAGAGGCTTTTAAGAAGAGACTGGACAGCCTCTTGTCCGGAATGGTGGAGGGTCTCCTTGCTTCAGCAGAGGGTTGGAGTAGAAGACCTCCGAGGTCCTTCCAGCTCTTGCTATTCTACTTTGTTCTGAGATATTTATGTGTGTCTTCAAGTCAGCGTTGACTCTTGGAGAATGCTGTGCAGTTTCCTTGGCAAGGTATTTCAGAAGTGGTTTGCCATTGCCTCCTTGCTGGGGCTGAGAGAAAGGGACTGGCCCAAGGTCACCCAGCTGCCCTGTGGTCGTGTCTTCTGGTTTCTAGCCTGATACCTTAACCGCTATCTGGCTCTCTGCCATAATAAATTTAAATAGTAATAATAGACCACGGTGGTCCCAATGCAATCGGTATACTGGGTGCCATACCAAAAACTCCTGGACAACCCTTAGAAAATCTGCACATTGATCAAATTTCCATCTGTCAATTTCCATCAAATGCATAGAGTGCTATCCTATTCCTGTTTGTAGTCTCCTCCACCTGTGGCTCTCTTAACTTTTGAGTAACCCTTTGTGTATCTGAAATGTTCCGTTTCAAATAGAGATGCAAAAGGGGAAGGAAAGAACGAGAGATGAACAAAGGAAGAAGGATTTTAATTCAGTAACACATGCTAAATTTTAATTTCAGTTCGTAGTACTGGTGGATTGGAACAGAGCCAGGTTACACGATTTCCTTGCTTTTAGATATTTTTTTTACAAGAATACACGAAGGCAGAAAAATGTATCTCTGTTGTGGATGGTTTAACTATCATTGAAATGTTTTCCTGTTTAACAAAGTAGGGGACCGTGCAGATCTCTTGGCTCTTCCATCATTCCACTATATTTGATTTGATTTGCTTGGAGCCGAGTTTTGACAGCATGGAAATGAGAAAACTACTGCAGCTTCCCTTTCCCTTTCTTCAAAGAGTTGGCAACTTCATTTCAGGAAGCTTGTTCTAATAACAGGTGTATTCCTGGATCACTTTAGACAGCTTCCTGCAGGCGAGAAGAGTCAAGCAGCATCTCTTAAATGGCACTTAATTATATTATTCTTATTGTTGCTGAATTATGTTACCCTTGTCTTATTTTTCTGTCTCTCTTTCTCTCTTTAGCTGGAACCCTATATGGATGAGAACTTCATTTCAAGAGCTTTTGCTACTATGGGACAACTAGTCCTGAGTGTGAAGATAATTCGGAATAGATTGACAGGGTATTGATTGTTTTTTATTTCTTGGCTGTTAATGTGTATATTCAGAATAGACTGATGGGGTTATTTGCTTGGTTTTTTTAATTTATTGGCTGTCGATGTGCATATTCAGAATAGATTGTTTGTTTTTCATGTAGTGGCTATTGATGTACATATATTTTGGTGGGAAGGCTATTTTCAACCCATTTATAGATTGTGTGACTTGGATACTGCTTTAATTCCTGTGCTAGTGGACCACAATTTAACCAGGCTTTATTGAATAAGCCACTAATATTGTAACTGCTATGTGATGCATAAACTATGGTATATTATGGTTCCTACTCCACATTAGGCTAAAATTAAACAAGCCATGTTGTGGCTTTGGGGCATCTTATAAAGTGAGCTCCTGTTAATTAACCCTATCTAGTTTGCCACAGGGACAAGATGCGATGCTTATCCAGAGTCAGTCCATTAGATCAGTCTTCTTTCACTGATTGATCGCAGCTCCCTCTCCTAGTCCTTTCTAAGAATGGGAGCACCCCCAAAACTTTTCTGACAAAATTGTTAAAAGCAATCAAGAGACAGATCGTGAATGATTCCTTTTTCAAGTGCATGTAATTTCAATCTGGTATCTTTATGAATGCCGCCTTAATTTGTCTTGAGAACATCACTCTGTAAACAGGTTGCCACTACTGGAAAAGCTGTCATCCTGGTCGCCATCTCTATGGCCTCTGTTGCAGAACATAATTTGACACGTTGTTTGAGATATGATTGCCAAGTCCTGATCTCTCACTTTGCAGTAAAGCAGAACATAAGAAGAATTATGCTGGATCAGACCAAAGGCCTATCTAGCCCAGCATTCTGTTCCCACAATGGCCAAGGGGATACCTCTGGGAAACTCATAAGCAGGACATGAGAGCAATAGCGCCCTCCTGCTAGTGTTTTCCAGCAACTGGGATTTGAGAGGCGTACTGCCTTGACACCGGAGGTAATATATAGCTATTGTGGCTAGTAAACATTGGTAGCATTATTCTCCACAACATTTTTCACTGACAGGCACAAACACAGGCAATGAATGACCTATTTCTCTCCTTCCAGGATTCCAGCAGGCTATTGCTTTGTAGAATTTGCTGATCTGGCCACAGCAGAGAAATGTTTACATAAAATCAACGGGAAGCCCCTTCCTGGTGCCACCCCTGTAAGTAAAGAAGCTCATCTGAAAAGCCACTCTGAAATCCTAAACCTACTTGTGAAGAAGCCCCACTTAAGTCGTTGGGATTTCTAAATCATATCTTTCTCGGTCCAATCTGCCTCCCGGAGTTGTGGGGAAAAGAGAGGGAGGAAGGGGTATTTGGTATATTCCCCGCCTTGAACTATTTGAGTTATATATAAAAATAATAAAGGCAAGATATAAATATATATTTTATCCTACCTTTTATGTGTATTGGTCAACTCAAAGTGGCTTTCATGCCTAAACACAATTAAGAATCTCCTGATAAGTGGCCCAAAATCACTTAGCCAGCATTCATACCTAAGGTGGAAGTAGAACTCACAGGGTCCTAGTGATTGACTCAAAGTTACCTAGCAGGTTTTTATGCCTAAAACGAGACTAGAGCTTGCAGTCTCCTGGTTTCTAGCACAGCATTTGTGCTGCACAAAATGGTATGTGGTTGGGTCCACTAAATAATCAGAATAGTAAGGGAAGGTGCTTATCCCAGCTAAAGTCTGTACAAAAATATTTCAGTATTCCATCTGCATGAGCTTTCTGTTCTGCTCACATGAGTAGATCAGAAAGAGCTAAACCAAATTACTGTGTAGCAAAACTCACGTAAAACTCTGTAATTGTTATTTCCCTTGAACTGTCATGTTTAAAATGTGTTTTTGCATCTTTACTTTGTATTTCAGACAAAGCGCTTTAAATTAAATTATGCCACATATGGGAAGCAGCCTGATAATAGGTAAGCTAAACTCTAAGAGAAGTATTTCCATGTTCTTATCTTTTATGTGGGCACCAGTGTGATGTTCAGCTTATTTTTTCCTAAGAAAATCCTGAAGGGTAATTCTCATACAAGTGTCCCAAGCAGCGGCATTGTGCTAATGGATGAAAATTCCCTGGCAGTTGTACTACACGTTTTTCCAGCTCATGTTGCTAACTCTGCTATTATCCAATGCAGTGGTTACTGTGGATGCATTTTACTCATTAACTGATAGCCTCAGCAATCACTTTCTTGGATAATGCAGCAAGCAGGATTGTAACACATTTCAAACTCTGCAAACTATTAAGCTTCAATGGCGCCACAGCCTGACTTCTAAAGAACTGGGCCCTTAGTTCATGCATGTTTTAGTCCATCGAAAAACAATGCTATGCCAAAGCCATTTCATTTCTCTAGGAAATTGAATGGATTTTTCCAAATGGGGAAAATGCTGACTGGGGAATTCTGGAAGTCAAAGTCCACACATATTAAAGTTGCTAAGGTTGAGAAGTAGTGCCCTAGATCAGGGGTCTCCAACCTTGGCAAGTTTAAGACTTGTGGACTTCAACTCCCAGTTTCGCTGGCTGAGGAATTCTGGGAGTTGAAGTCCATAAGTCTTAAACTTGCCAAGGTTGGAGACGCCCTGCCCTAGATTATATTTGGGTGGGGTTGGAATGGTGGAAACAGTAATAAACTTTGAGACTGTTTCTATTAACTGTAAAAGCATTTGGAGCCCTGTTCATGGTTTCTTCTGGTATTACTAATGACTGCCATTCAGTGAAATGCTTAGGAACACAAAGATAGCTTCCACATCTTGTTATTAAAACTATTATCATTTAATGTTCAGAGGTTAACTAAGATAGAGGACATAGTGAAACTTTCTATAATAAAACATAAGAAGGTAGGAACTTGTGGCATATCAATGAAAGATGGTTGGAGTTCTGCTTATCACAGGAGAGCAGATGGTGCAAAGCTCCTTGATACCTCATGGGGACAGTTCCAACTTACACTTACACTAAAAACTCTAAAAGGTATTCATTTGTTTGGGGGAGGTATTTGCCTTAAAAAAAATAACTTTTCAGCATATTTTTCATCCAAACGTCTAAATAAATGTAGCCCTTTCCCCTTATATATATTTCTGAATAGGTATTTAGAGATTTCAAGAGACAGGAGAATGTAAAATAAAATTAAACAGTTGCTTAAAGCAGTGTTTCTTGACGTTGGCAACTTTAAGATGTATGGACTTTAACTCCCAGAATTCTCCAGCAAGCAAAACGCTGGCTGGGGAATTCTGGAAATTAAAGTCCACACACGTTAAATTTGTTGAGGTTGCGAAACACTGACTTAAAAGTTTTGCCTAGACTGAACAATTACAGGTTACAACTGTCATTGGTTTTCTTGGAAAAAGAAGGAAATGAAGCTTCGCGCTGTGTTTATGGCACAAATTATGAATTAAATAGGTTTTAATTCATGTTTTAGTCTTCCCTTCCCTGTAGTTCCCTGTTTTAACTACAGAAGGCACCATTTTCTCCTTCTTAACTAAACTCAGTAACTCTGGGCTTACCAGATAAAATTCTCTTTAAAAAAGGATGGTAGGAACTAACCTCCAGCGAAGCAAAACTCACCAGCCTCCAGCATCACCTTTATTTCCAAGAATGTCTCCGAGCAGGTTTTGAAGGGAGGTGGCTATAATAAACCTAGACGGTGTGGTATTAAATATGATTGAATATTAAAGCTTTCTCAGTCTTTTAACTGATTACATACTTCACAGCTGCCATTTTAGGGCTAGGATATATCGAAGCTCTGCAATCATTCTGCAAAAAATGCCACCATTGGTTTTCAATTCAATACAGGCGCATTGTGTGCACACGCACACACATACACACACACACAATTTGAATATTCCTGGCTGATCTCCTAAAAATAATTCACAGATGCTAATTTTGAGTTTTGTTGACAGCTGCCTTTGGACAATTCCTATTCTTTCTCTTATTTTTTTTCCCCACAGCCCAGAATATTCCCTGTTTGTTGGGGATCTTTCCCCTGATGTAGATGACGGGATGATATATGAATTTTTTGTAAAAGTATACCCATCATGTCGGGGTGGAAAAGTGGTCGTGGATCAGACGGGCGTTTCCAAGTAAGTTTCTCCAAAATGTGTTTTTGCTTTATTTGCTCCTGTTTTGCAAGGGATGAAGGAAAGCTGTCCTGGTGTGAAGATGCTTCTTCTTTCTATGTGTCGGTTAAGAGAAATCTGAAAAGATTTAGCTGCACTGAATTTACAGCGGTGCTGGAATTCTACACTGTTCTGTAGTTGATATTAAGATGCTAATTCAGGGGATGGAGGTAAAATAGATGTGTACAGGTGTTGATGCCTCTGTAGTTTATCTGTCCAGTGTAAACTATTATCTTTTAACTTTTATATTCTTTATTATGGAAGATGTCTCTCTGAACTGTGTCTGATGAGGGCTTATTCATTGCAGTGGCCCAACAGAGTTAAAGTAACCTGCCAGCATCCATTCCAATGTACAAACTATTTTTATTCAGAACATTTGCAGCTAGCTTAAGTGAGTGGTGTGGTGGCCTAGAGGTGAAACTCTCACCTCACAATCAGGAGACTGTGAGTTCGATCCTAGGTAGAGGCAGATATTTCTCTCTCTGGGCACTTTGAGTATATTCAATCCTGAATGTAACTCCGCATTGGTGACAGGAAGGGCATCCGGCCAATAAACACTCAGCTCCATTCAGTTGCCCAGACTCCACCCCGCAAGGGATTATGGGGTCGTTAAAAAAAAAATGATGATTTGCAGCTAGCTTAAGTCCCACATATATTCTTTCGTGTATCTGTTCTTAGTATAGGTAGTCCTTGACTTAACAACCATTTGTTTAATGATCAAGGTTACAACCACACTGAAAAAAAAGTGACTTATAACCAGTACTTACACTGATGACTGTTGCAGCATCCCCACAGTCGTGATCAAATTTTGGGTGCTTGGCAACTAGCATGTATTTACAATGGTTGCAGCATCCTGTGGTCCTGGGATTGTCATTTGCAACCTTCCTAGGGAATTTCTGACATGCAACGTCAATGGAGGAAGCCAGATTTGCTTAATGACCGCATGATTCACTTAACAACTGTAGTGATTTCACTTAACGACCATGGCAAAAAGGTTGGAAAACAGACACGATTCATTTAACAACTGTCTTGTTTATCAATGGAAGTTTTGGGCTCAATTGTGGTTGTAAGCCAAGGACTACCTGTATAGCATAGTTTTACAACATTTCCAGAGAGTGAAGGCCTATGTTTACGTAAAGGAAACGAATGCCGAATGGAACAGAGATCCTGGTTCCCCCATCTTTGGTTTAAACCCGGGGGGAGGGGGCTGGGTGTGTGTGGAGGTGGTCCTTTTTATGACTTGTGGACTTCAACTCCCAGAATTCCTGAGCCAGCCATGCTCCTCTGGTTTAGACTAACAGAACGCTTGCATGCCCATTTCTCATAAAGGGAATCTCGTCAGCCTTTATAAAAGAAAGCTAAACCTTCTAGAAGACAGTAATCCTTAAAATTAGTAGTGATGAAAACCTACTGTTCTTATAGGTCAAGACTAAATGAGAAAATCACATTCCGAAAAGTACTAGGAAAAGCCAAGACAAAACTACATTTTAAAAGTCATTGAATTTTAATGTAACCAATGTGATCCCCCTCTCTGTTATGTCAGGTATAAGTTGAAAACACGTTTTGAAGATCTCGGGGGGCCTTGCCCCTGGCCTCATGGGATCATATATTCCCCTTTATACTCTTAATGACTTAAGCCTACTAAATTAAGCACCACAATTTTTTATTTTTTTGAGGAGGTTCAGTAAAATGAGGTGGCAAACGAGTCAACAGCACTTCAAAAAGTTCTGCTAGTGTTCTGACCTAGGCTTCCTGAGACAGTAAAAAGCACACAATTAGTCCCAAAAACCCTCTTTTATTTCAATGGCTGTGAATTATTGTTCATTCATAGCCCCTAATGGATCACAAAGAGTTGGTAAAGAGTCCGACAGAAGTCTGCCACAGTCCTTCGTGATAAGGCTGATAAGCACCCACCTTTATCTCCCTTGACACGCTGCCAAAGACCTAATTGGCAATTAGCTTTGCAAGGCCACACGGAGCACAGAGTCAAAACGGAGCTTCAGAATTTAAACCGACCAGCATGAACAAAGTTGCTTCCTGCAAAGACTCATATGCCTTTGCTCCTCCTTTAAGTCTTATGGGAAGGGCCAATCATCTCCCAAGCCCTACTCCCGAGTCGTCCCTTTTGTTTTAACTGTTCTTGCCTTCTGGCAGCGCTGCACATGCACGGACTGGGAACAGACTCCCCCTGGTTCCTCTGCCTTGCTGATGTCTGACTCTGGAGGCTCCAGAGGCAGCACATAACTCCCAGATGGTCCTGGCCCCCTCTCTGCCTCCGACGCAGAGCCCTCGTCCAAGCCTTCCCCAGACTCCAGGACTGGCCCATGTTCTTCCTCAGCCTCCTCACTGTCCAATTCTGCTGCCAGCTCCGCAGGCCGCCGGCGGACCACAACAGCTAGAACTTCTTAGAAGGTGCAAATTTACCATGACCTGCATGATTGACAATCTCCATACACATTGTGCAAGCTGACCTTCTCTTTTACCTTCCTTTGCTTATTCTGTGTTTTTACAGAGGCTATGGTTTTGTGAAATTCTCAGATGAACTGGAGCAAAAAAGAGCACTGATAGAGTGCCAGGGTGCTGTCGGCCTTGGTTCTAAGCCGATACGTTTGAGCGTTGCCATACCAAAAGCGTAAGTATAGATGGAAGGTGTGCTTAATTCAGCAGTTCCACTTGTTTGGGCCATACAATGGGATTGTGCCCTTATATTGAAAGCCACATAATGGCTTCCTAAAAGGTGATCTAAAAAGATTCAGATTTAAGGATGGATTCCTTGGAGAGCCACCCTATAAGCTTGACTAAAAGCCTTAGTAGAAATTCAGGTAATTTGTGGGCCTCCAGGTGTTACCAAACTCCCCAAGCAATGCCAGCCAATCTGGTCTAATGCTGAAGATGCTGCGAGCTATAATTCGGCTCATGTGGAGTGTCACAGCTTCCCTGTTCCTAAGATAATGAGACGCAGTGAATAAAGCAGCCACAAACACTACTCAGCAGAATGAAGTTATGATTTACTAGACAACCTGTGTAGGTCGTCGTTTCAGTTTCCTTACCTAAACAAATAAACAGAACGACCACAGGTGGACAAAAAAGCAGTGGGAGCAAGTTCTGACTTCCTACCAGCTTTCCCATTGACTTTGCTTGCGAGAAGTTGGTAAGGAGCACAACTTTACCAACACAACTGGTCTGAAGATCCTTGAAATTTCATTTCCTTTGGAGTCATGAGTCCTGGATTTTGGATACAAACTTTGGATACATTTGAGATATCTTGATTCAAAAATTGCCTTACAATGCACCGTTTTACCCAATTGAATGTTACAAACACAGACTTTTAGAAGTATATACAGTATATCTGACGGCCTTGGAATGAAATGAGTGTAATTTTAGGATTTTTGTCATAGATTAAATTTTGTTCAGAAATGTTACAGAATTCTCAGAGTCATTGACTCTTTCTTCATTTCCCACTCTTGTTTCTTTTCCAAGTAATCGGCTGAAGATGGTAGAGTACAATCAGATGTACAACTATAACTATAACCAGTACTATCAACAGTATCAGAACTACTATGCCCATTGGGGATATGATCAAAACACCGGCAGTTACAGCTACAGCTACCCACAATATGGTTACACACAGAATACCATGCAGGTGAGAGTAAAGATTCCTAGGCATTATCAAAACTGTGCAGTCCTTATGCTATGTAAGCCCTGTAAAGCTGTGTGTTCAATGCTTCTAAATAAACAATTTTTGATTCCTTTATAATTTGTAATTCTCACTATTGCAGACATATGAAGAAGTGGGTGAAGATGCATTAGAAGGTAAGGTTGCTTATTGTAATTCCTCGTTAGAAGTAGAAATTATGTTTCCTTTTCTAATCTGGCAATTCAAACCAAATCAGTTCTGGGCCAGCAGAAAGCTTTTGGAAAGATTGAAATTTTGAATACTCTAGATGTATTATAATTAAATATATTTGCTAATCCAAGCAAGTATTTGCATTTACAAATATAGAGCTGGTAGTGGGAAGAAAACTCCAGTTTCTTTACATTTAATTTGGTCAAAAGTGTGTTTTTGATATGCTATGTCATCCCGGCATGGTGACGAAGTGATTAGAATGCAATATTGCAGGTTAACTCTGCCTGCTGCCAGGAGTTCGATTCTGAATTGCTCAAGGTTGACTCAGCCTTCCATCCTTCTGAGGTCGGCAAAACGAGGACGCAGATTGTTGGGGGAAATATGCTGGTTCTGTAAACCACTTAGAGAGGGCTGTAAAGCACTATGAAGCGGTATATAAGTCTAAGTGCTATTGCTATATGTATGTAACTCTCCTAAAGACTATATTCCAAAAGTTTGAGAAACAGAGTTTTATAGATTTTTGTTCTCTCACAAAAGGATTAAAAAGCTCTCCATCGTTTTCTAAGTTAAAGTGCTTGAGATGAATGCATGGAGAACTGCCCAGTTTTGACAATTGTATCTTTATTTCACCAGTTGCTGTATGATCAGGCATTTTATTTACACAAACAGTCTCTTTGTTCAGTGAAATCTTTCTTAACCCTCCATTTTTAATTTCATCCCAGTTTGGAGAAAACATTGAACCAGTGTTTGGGGTTCCGGTTTAATTGTCGATTGTTCAAAGAGGTTTGCCTGTGTAGGTAAAATTCTGATTGATATTGGAGCTTATTAAATCAAGATACAACGATCCAAACCACAAAGAATTTCTGCATTTCAGCACTCACACAAATGTCTTCCAAAATTCACTCATGTAGGCTTCCTTCCATTGGCAGATCCGATGCCCCAGACGGATGTGAGTGAAGCCAACAAGCAGTTTATGGAGCAGAGCGAAGAACTCTACGATGCCTTGATAGAATGCCATTGGCAGCCTTTGGACAGTGTCTCTTCAGAGCTCCAAGCTGCATAATTGCCATGTTGCTGAGAATGCTCCCTCCGAGCCGTGTGCCAGTGGGCCTTGGATTCCTGCCAAAAGCGCATGGAAGTTGCAGCTGCAAACGGACTCGTCCCTCTCTCTCCACCAGATCCTCAAGTCAAGGATGCAGAGGACAGCTTTGGGTTCTTCCTGGACTCGTCGAGCAGCAGAGTGTAGCAGAGGAGGATTGTGGTCACTTCTATTTGAGATGAAATTAGAACTTGGGGACTTAGTTTTATTTCTTCTCCCTTCCCCTCTACCCCACTCCACCCCCATTGATCCTAAGGCAAGACTTGTTTATCCTAGCCAAGAAGTTCTAATTTATGAACTAAATAAAAGATGGGAAATCTTAATTCCAACTACAATAAAAAAAAAAGTATCTTTTACACAGTAAGGTGGGGATATCTGGTGTTCTCCGTAGGGTAAATGGGATCAAGAGTCAGAAGCAGGCCCATCGAACAGTTCCAGGAGCCCTTTCTTTTTCTTTGCTGAAATAAATCTCCATAGAAATGATTTTGAAGCAAAACCGCACTATGAAGAAGGAAAAAAAAAACCTTTGAGGGAGCAGGCGGAGTAACTTGGGCAAACTTTTTGCAGTTTCTGAAAGGGGATACAAATTCTACATTTTGAAGCATGTACAGGCGACTTCTGTTAAAACAGCCAGATATTCTGTTTTAATATGAAGAAGTCTAAGGCGATCAGAAAAATTTTAATTGCCTACTCCATAGCTGGATAATATCTTTATTGGGAGCCACCGAAAGGATGCAGCAGCGTTTCCTAGGACTTCTAGGATTGCTAGTAACAGTGGGAAAAGAAAAGAAAAAAGAGAAATATAATTCCCCCTCAAACGAGGTTCGGTATTTCACTCATGAGCTGCGCAATTTGAAGGCAGTCTGAACATATGAAGATAATGCAGTAATGATTGACAGACGTTCCTAGTGTCTGATTACAGGTGAATTGGATTGAGATGGGCAACCATAATGAATAAATAAATAATCTTGCATTCAAAGAATAGAAGTTGCTTCCTTCAGTTTTGAATACACAGATACTGTCCTTTATATTATCTCTGTTATAAGGTGCAGAGAAGGGTGGGGATTTTGAAGCTTTGAGCAATGCTGGGCCAGTTTTATAAATTGGCATTTTTAGCATCTCTAGGTAGGTCTAGAGGCCATGTCAGTCTGAGATGTCTTGCTTGTTGCTGTACAAGTTGTATTGTTAATAGGACGATTCCCACGACTACACTGCGTTTATTGTAGTGATGATTAAAGGAAAATGGCTAAAAGCAAACGGGTGTTAACGTCTCCAGTGGATGTCCACCTAGTTAAATTTCTGCAGGGAAAGGAAAATGCGTGCATTTATAGCAGGGCTTATTTCCAATTTAGAAATGAAGAGAAATTTATGCAAGTCACTAAGTCTTACAGGGTAAGAATAACCTGTAAAAAAATGTATACCTGTGAAATGGAATAACCAAGTAAACATATATTGAATTGTATGATTTTTTTTCCATCAGGTAATGTATCTGAAAATCAGAGTACATAACCTTTCACTGGATTATGGATAGGTTGTAGCTCAAACATGCAATCCACAGGCAGGACACTTGAGATTTGATTCACAAGGACAATGGGATGGGTAGATGGAACATGGAAAAAGTTTTTTTTTAAAAAAAAAGTCTGCACTTTAGTTACAAATTCTGGTTTTCATGAACACAAAATGGCAACTTTAGGCAACATATGAAGTTTAATATTTCCTCTAGTTAGAGATAATCCAAACACTCACATCTGTGTCTATGCTAAGGAATACATGTTTTGAATAGGCCCCTAGCATGTATAGGATACCAGGAATCCATTGAATTGGCAGTGTAGGAAATCTGTACCTGATTTTTAGCAAGGGGTGGCTGAAATGTGTTGTTAAAAGTTTAATTTTTCCATTTGCAAAAAAAAAAAAAAAGGCAACAAACTCGATTTTCCAAGCAATTTGGTCAAATAATTTTAGGAGCTCTTTTGTTTGTACCTTCCAGTTGGGACAAACTGGATTAATCTCAATGTTAATAATCGATTGTTCAAAATAAGCCTTTCCGTTTCTCCTTTGTTCATTCGTTTGATACAATAAAATCTTTTCATTAAGAACTCAGAAAGTGTGCGCCCTGCTGACCTGCCATAGATTGGGATAAAAACTACATTTCCCAGGAGCCCTTTCAGGACTCTTTTTTTTTTAAAGGAGCCAATCGAATTAGACGTTCACAGGGGATATAAAAGGCGACGTCCGCGTATCCAGCGTTCTTTCCGTGCTCGGAAGCCGAGGAGCAGGTTAGTAGGGGTCCATTTTCGTAGCGGGGCCAAGCTTCTCCATCCGTCGCCATCCTCCTATTTAATTCGAAGCGATTCCTGTTTAGACGGTTGATATCAAAGTAAGAGAGCCCTCCTCCACTCTCGGGAAGAAAGTTCCGAGTCTGGGCGCTTTCTTGCAATTTCCCACGCGAGAGTCCCTAATTGGGTGGGTGGGCGGATGGGGAATGGGCCTTCTTTCCCGTGGTCAATGTTGCTTAGGCGGTGGGAGGTTTAATAGGGGAGAGGTCTCCTCGCATGTCATCCACACGCCCCCCTCCCCCTTTCATCGCACGGAGCGGGATGCCCATTTAGATTGGCAGAAAGAATCCTGCCATTAACAGTTGGAAGGAAGGGACCTTGGAGGTCTTCTAGTCCAACCCCAACCCCCCCCCGCCCAAGCAGGAGACTCTTTAATAGAAAAAGTCTTCAAAAGGGTTTTTTTTATTAGGCTTGCAGAGCCCCTTAGAAAATCTTCCTTTTTCTAATGTTATGGATGTGGTTTAAGTAGTGCAATTCAAAGATCTTTTTGCAGATTCCCGGGAATTTATATCGGGTTGCTTTACTCAGCTTTGGGCATTGATACGTGTATCTCCCATTAACGGGAGTCCATGCTGGTTGGGGAATTCTGGGAATTGAAGTCCACACACCTTAAAAATTGCCAAAGTTAAGAAACATTGTGCTAGGGGTGGCTGAGTCTCTCTCCTGGGCCTTGAGGTTCAAATTCAGTGAATGTGTTGGATTGCAATTCCCACTTTTCCACGTTGCTGGGCCCTTTTCAGCATGCAGACTTGACTTATACATTTTTCAAGTTCTTTCTATTCTAAATCATGTTTTTCAAGCATGGAAACCTTAAAATTACTTCAACTTCCAAAATTCTCCATCCAACACTGTTTTCATTCATGCATAAAACAATTAAATAAATTAAATAAATAAATAAATAAATAAATAAACTCGACAAAGAGCAGTAATGGGGATACCTAACCAGCAGTGCCTGTTTAGAATAAACCCTGCTCTCTTTTTAAACTGGAGGAGATTTTTTAATTATTATTTATTTATTTAAATATAATTTAGCTGCCCACTCAGCTGGTCTCTTGGAAGCTTATAGTATTGATGTAGTTACATTAGCCACTGTGTATCGTAGTTGATTTTGCAGTGAATAGATGTGGATGAAAAGCTCTTCACAGCTGCTGCAGTCGCAGTATGATGCTGGAATGTATAACAGTTGGGTGCAAAAAATGTTCAATCATTCTGTAATAGAATGTGTGAGTGACTTTGGGGGGAAAGGGGGAAGAGATGCTGCCTAGGAAACAATCAGATGAGAGGCAGGAGCTCCCCTGGCTTACCCATCAGAGAAAGAAATTTAGGAAGGACCAAATCCTAAGGCAGGGGTTTCCAAACTTGGCAACTTTAAGATTTGTGGTCTTCAAGTCCCAGAATTCTGAATTCTTGAAATTCAGTTGAAATCCACAAGTCTTAAAGTTGCCAAGTTTGGAGACCCCTGTCCTAAAGGATCAGGTTGGTAAAAGTGGTGGGAAATTTGTATTTTCAGTCTTGCAAGATTCTGTTAAGGTAGCCTTACAATAAGGTAAATTTAACTCCTCCTGTGTTTCCTTGTCTGGCTTACCTGGGAAGGCTGACAAGTTATTTTTTTCCATGGCCCTATCGAAGCTGCGTCTGTCTTACCTGTGACTGATGTAGTCAAAAAGGTGCCGAAAATAATATTTTTCTTCGACGGTCGCTGTTTGGTTTGTTCTCCCATAACTCTTCAGCAACATTTTGGGGAAAATACATATTTTTCATATTCAGTGATGGGCATTTTGTAGCTTGAATGCAGAGCAGCACAGACAAGTCAGTTCAGGGTGTATCTGTGACTAGACCCGTATTTCTGTTTACCTGTAACTGGACCAGTCACAGATAAATTGGGCATGTCTAGTCTAATGAAAAGGATTGGAGTGACATGATAGCAATAATTTCAATATTTGGGGGGCTGCCACATAGAAGAGGGGATCAACTTATTTTCCAAAGCACCAGAAAGCAACACAAGGAACAGTGGATGGAGACTAATCAAGGACAGTAGCAACCTGGAATTAAGGGGAATCCTAACAGAACAATTAACCAGTGGAACAGCTTGCCTTCAGAAGTTGGGGGTGCTTCATCACTGGAGGTTTTTAAAAAAAAATTGGGCAGCCCTCAAGGAAACTTGTGCCTAATTTTGGTGTCCTGTAGTAGCTTGGCTTTCAGTCTAATTCTCTTTTTCTTCCCATCAGCCTTCAGCGCGAAAGAAGATGAGGTGGATTAATGCTTTGGAGCTGGACATGGTGATTCATAGACGCCTGTCCCAACTTGACGTAAGGACACTTGCAAATTATTCTCAGCAAAGGTTTATAAAAGATGTAAATCTGGACCAGTGTTTCCCAATCTTGCCATTTTTAGATGTACGGACTCTGACTTCAATTCCCAGAATCCCCCCCACCCCCACAGCCAGCCAGTATGAATTCTGGAAATTGAACTCCACCCGTCTTTAAACGGCCTAGAATGAAAAACACTGGTCTGTATGCTTCTTAGTTAATTCGGGAGATCTCAAATTAAAGCGGTGGAGTGGTGATGTTCATTTTTTTTAATGTTAAATGCAGAGTTGAATAAAAAGTCACTCTGTGTTTTATTTATTAGCCTGCCTTTATTCTGTGCAATTCAACCCGTCTTTATTCTGTGCAATTCCAGACGTAAGAAATCTTTTCTTTCCCTCACAACATCAACCTTGTGAGGCAGGTTGGAATTCACTGTCTTCTGGTTTTCAGCCCAGCACCTTAGCTACTGTACCAGAATAGCTAACTCCCACCCCAGTAAAATCACTTGCTTTACAGTATTCATAAGAGTGATGTGATTTGCATAAATTCATTCATCGTTTTAGCAAATCACCAAGTTTGAGGATCCCCCGAGTTCCTTGTGTCAAGTCAAGAAAATGGGTTGGCATGTTAAACCAAGAGTTGTGGCTTAGCCGGTGGCCACAAGATCTCCAACAACATGCAAGAATGAGATGGGAAGGACTTTGACTTCCCAGCCATTGGTAGCTGAGGATGTCACTCGACCTTCCTACATTCTCAAGCGTTAACCTATCTTATCCTACAGGGTTGAACACCTCTTTATTCTGCATGTTCTTATAGAGCAGTGTTAAAAACAGTGCAGACTTAGAATCATAGGGCTGGAATCTAGGCCAGGGGTCTCCAACCTTGGCCACTTCAAGCCTGGCGGACTTAACCAGCAAAGCTGGCTGGGGAATTCTGGGAGTTGGAAGTCCGCCAGGCTTAAAGTGGCCAAGGTTGGAGACCCCTGTTCTAATTCATCCCCTGTCGAAAGCAGGAGGACTTAAAGCTGTTGAGTTGAGAAACACAGCTGCACAGTTTGGAGTTCTTCTGCTGTCTCTCTAGGTATAAACTAGAGGCAGTTCCCATGGGACATATTTTCTTCAATTACTTCTTTCTTTTTGTTGTCATGAATTTTTAAGGGCTTGTTTTAAGCTGAGGTGTTTTTTTAAAAAAAAGATCTTGAGAGCCATCTTGCTCAGTGTTCACGTCAACATTTTTATTGAATTATAAAGTATTATAAAATACAAAATAGAAAAGCAGTGGGGGACGGGAGAAGGAAAAGAGAAGTGAGAGAAAGATGGTGGAGGGGAAAGAAAGAGAAGCATTGACTTCCGAATCACTCTGTTACAGTAAAATAAAGTATTAACATCAAATCACAACTTTTTGCTTTTCTCATAATAATATGAACAAGCCGTTTCTAGAAAGATCTATCAGTCTACTTGGTAAAACACAAAGTCAAGAGTTTCATTCTTCTCCACATCAAGCGTGAAGTTCAGAAGCAGTTTCCTTGTGGAACTTGCTCAGTGTTCATAAGCCATCTTGAATAATTTTCATTCAGATACTTATTTTTCCAAGTAATATTTTCACGGAATAGTAACTGCCTAGAAATGTGGGCGCTAACGCTAGTTTTTCATTCAGATGTTGGGTATTTTTATGTTTCAGGTACAGTCTGGAAGTGCTGGATGATTGGAGAAGATGCCCGTTATCCTCATTTCCCTCGTAAAATATTGAGGCCACTAGCTGAAGCCTGCAAGGTGCACTCCCTGTTTATACTTTTTCATGGAGATGGGTGGTTGTTTCTGTACGAGACAGAGCGGAGGTGGGATGAAAAGAATTAGCAGCAGTCCGGACCCTCCCTATCCCTTTCCCATCAGATCCAATTACTGATCTCATGGTCAAAAAGGAGGCAAAGTAAAAACAAACTGGTCCTAACATCTTTGCTGGGATAAATCCAGCATTGAACTGGGCTGACTTGAGACAGATGGTCATACATTCCATAATTGTTCTTCAAGCAGAAATGTGTGCTTGCTTTGGCCAAATTGGGTGAGTCCATCGGGACTTTGCCATTCTGGCAGGAGGGGAGAGGTTTGGGGCTACACTTGCATGGGGTTTTCCTTTGTTCCTTTCTCTGCTTTGATGTACTTTTGGGGAAGTTGGGAGAGGGGAAGAATGTGCCTTGGGCCATCTGTTTTATCTCAACACTGGAGGAGTGAGAAATGCCTTGAGATGGGCTCTAGATCGGGAATTTCAGATTGCCTACACTCTTTCTAGGGGACACGGTGGCTCAGTGGCTAAGACGCTGAGCTTGTCAATCGAAAGGTCGGCAGTTCAGCGGTTCGAATCCCTAGTGCCGCGTAAAGGTGAGCTCCCGTCACTTGTCCCAGCTTCTGCCAACCTAGCAGTTCGAAAGCACGTAAAAAATGCAAGTAGAAAAATAGGGACCACCTTTGGTGGGAAGGTAACGCCTTTGGCATTTAGTCATGCTGGCCACATGACCACAGAGATGTCTTCGGACAGCACTGGCTCTTTGGCTTTGAAATGGAGATGAGCACCGCCCTCTAGAGTCAGGAACGACTAGCATAGGGGTCTGCAACCTTAAACACTCAAAAGAGCCATTTGGCCCCATTTCCCACAGAAAAGAAAACACCGGGAGCCACAAAACCCTTCCTGTGCCTGACTATTTCTTGAGCGGCCACAAAGTTAGCATATGTAGTTGAATTAAATGTTTTGTTCTCTTCTGAAATTTTTCTTTTCTTGGATGTATCCATGGTTGGCCTACCGGGGGTTGAAAAGCTCAATAAATCGTGTGCTGGTGGGTGTCGCACATTTAAGACATTTAAGACTGCCTTCCTACATGTCTCATTTTAACATCCTGCTTATTAGCATGCACTGTATTTAATTTTACTACCATTTTGTGGAAACTAGTTGTAAAACTCTATATTTGACCAGCAGCTCTCACATTCTTTCTACAGGAGGACAGGACAATGCAGTGACCTTCCATTTTTCTTCCGGGAGAAGGCCATCTGGTGGAGTGGACAGCTCGGCAAACGACAGCAATGTAAATATGAGTGCTTCCTGCTAATCATAGATCTGTATGACGTCGTGCAATATCCAGTAGCCACTTTTTAAATAACTCTGAACCTGCAGCATATGAGAGCCACGCCACCTCTGCCTTGTCTATGATGAAACATTTTTCTAATGGTGACAGCTGGATGAATCCTGCGGATATGGGGCTGAGATGAGGCTGGAGTGTTGGTGGCATTCAAAGTTTTTGATCTCTTTTTTGCTCTCTCTAACCTAGTATTCCGAAGTGCAGAGAGGTGATACTTGGGGCATACAGGGTGAGATAGTATAGAAGGGGTTTGGGAGGGCAATGGGGGGAAAAAAACTACTTGGGGTAATTAAAAAATATGTATTTTCTTTTTGTAGGTCTTCAGAGATTTCCTTGGAATTTGCTACAGGCATGTTGAAAAAGCTAAGGGCTTGCTGTGAAGATTTGGAAGGGAGGGAATGACTCCAGCAAAATTTTCTGAAATTTCTTAAAAAGCTGTCTGATAATAGTTACGTCTTTCTGCAGTTGTATGGAATTAAAAGGATTGTGTCTTTTTTCCAGTGTCATGCATTCTTGTTCTTTATACACACACATACTCCTTGACATAAATTTATCCCAGCAGTCTTAATCACCACTGATTTATACACTAGCCTGGGTTAATCCTGGCAGCCAAACCTTTTATATAAAAAAGATGTGGAGACTCTAGAGAGAGTGCAGAGAAGAGCAACAAAAATGATTAGGGGACTGGAGGCTAAAACATACGAAGAACGGTTGCAGGAATTGGGTATATCTAGTTTGATGAAAAGAAGGAGTAGGGGAGACATGATAGCAGTCTTCCAATATCTCAGGGGCTGCAACAAAGAAGAAATTTTGAGCTCAATTGTCGTATGTCAAGGATTACCTATAAACTATGTGTCTAGACTAGTCTGCGTGCAGACTAGAAATGCTTTGTGAATTGACACTGCGGTTGGTTAGACATGCATAGAAGGTGTACAAGCTATAAGCCACCGCTGACGACCACAGTGGCAGGATGGATGCAAGGGTCAACTGTCACGCGAGCGCCAGCATTTTTCTCCATGCCTTGTGATTCTGAAGCATCAAAAAACATGTGCATGCATACAGAAACATGATAGTTTAGGCTTTTCATGCACAGTTGACCATTAAATCACCTGGATTTAGAAAAAACTACAAGGCTACAACAGGAAGGCTGATAAGATGTAATTGTTTGGTCAGTTCCATTTTTAGGACTGCTGTGCCTTTCACAATTACGTCAGAAGTTCAGCACACCTGGGTTACAAAGGAAACAAAAGGTTTTTTTGTGGGGGGGTATTCAAAATTGGTTAAAATATCTGTACTCCCCATGCATTAAAGTGAAGGAAAAGTGCTTGTTAGAATGTAACATAGCTAAAATTTCTGTTCAGTTTTCTAGAAGTATTGACAAGTATGGGAATTACAGTCTTAACCTAGTTTGAAGATCTTAAGACGGGGAAATTGGTGTGGTTTACAGACTTGGGGTGTGGGCAGTGGTGAAATCCAAATTTTCTTAACTACCAGTTCTGTGGGCGTGGCTTGGTGAGTGTGGCAGGGGAAGGATACTGCAAAATCTCCATTTCCACCCCTCTCGGGGGCTAGCCAGACGTGGTATTTGCCATTTCTCTGAACTGCTCAAAATTTCCACTATTAGTTCTCCAGAACCTGCTGGATTTCATCCCTGGATGTGGGCTAGGGAGATCCAAGATCAATCCTCCACTTAGTTAAGAATTGGCTTCGTGGTAGCTTTGTGAGACGAGGAATAGACGGGGACTTTGGTCTTCCAGACTCTTTGTGGGTCTCTGAATAATCATGATTAGTCAAAATTAGTAATACAGTTCCCTGCCATGAAAGCATGGGAAAGTCTTAAATGTAGTCCAAAAGCAAAAATGGGATAAAAACTTAAAAATACACCCACTTTGTTGATGAAGTTTCAACCACTCCAGACATCGGAAGAGGTAGCTATCTATAATGGTTGTTACAATGGAATGTTAAGGTGGTGTTGGATGTTCTGTGCAAACTTAATTTTCCAATTGAATTGCTTTATCAATATTTTGTTAGAGGGAAGGTCTACCTTTCAGACGGGACGCGGTGGCTCGGGGGCTAAAACACTGAGCTTGTCGATCAAAAGATCGGCAGTTCAGCAGTTCAAATCCCTAGTGCCGCATAACAGGGTGAGCTCCCATTACTTGTCCCAGCTTCTGCCAACCTAGCAGTTCAAAAGCACGTAAAAAATGCAAGTAGAAAAATAGGGACCACCTTTGGTGGGAAGGGAACAGCGTTCCGTGCGCCTTTGGTGTTGAGTCATGTCGGCCACATGACCACGGAGAGGTCTTCGGACAGCGCTGGCTCTTTGGCTTTGAAACTGAGATGAGCAGCGCCCCCTAGAGTCAGGAACGACTAGCACATGTGTGCAAGGGGAACTTTTACCTTTACCTACCTTTCAGATGAAATGAAGTTGGAAAGAAAAAACAAGGCGGGGTGGGACCTTGCTCAAGGACTTTTGTCCTTTATGTGCAAAATAGATGGGAGTGAATTAGCCCTCATACAAAATATCAGGAGCTTGCTGGCACATGACTTCAGGGCTGGGGGAAGAGATTAGATAAGAGCTGGAGGCAGCTAAGGAGAGCAAGGAAGGGCAAAGGAGACCTCCCACATCACCTCCCATGGCTTCCTGCATTAGTTCTGTTTTTGGAGATGAAGCTGTGCTGTTTTGTAAGAAACCTCCAGATAGGTCTTCCGTTAAGCTCTTCAGCAGGAGCTACTACAAATCTAAATAGTTTTTATCAGTTAATGCCTGGAAGAATGTATAGATAACAAAACAAGACTGATTTTCAATAGCCTGGCATGCAAAGGGAAGGGGAACTGGGGAAGAAGTCTGCATACAGTATTGTTCTCAAGAGCTATGGGTGGAGATGAGATATAGCCAATTTGCAAAGGAGTGGGGGGAAGAAAACTGGTAGATTTCCTTTACCTCCTCCCCTGTTTCCTTTTAGAATTTGAGTGCTCCTAAAAAAAAACCACATTGGTATAAATTTGGGTCATAATCCTCCGAATCAACCAACAAGCCCAACTGCTACTGGTACTAGATGGGACATCTGCACCCTCTTTGGTGAACTTCGTTTCTACAGAAGTGGAATCCACCACGGTCTAAATCTGGTCTTTGAAAAGCCAGAGTTGATCTTGGAGAATCAGGATTCTACGTTGTTCCACAATTGCAGCAATTCAGAGAGCTTGGAGGTGATATTCTGGAGAAGCCTACTAGACACAGTTCTTTATGCACAGGTATCCGAAATAATAGGTTGATGTATTTATATATTCAACGATTGTCTCCACCCAACTCACAAAGGTGACTCTCATTAAAATGGGACATCAAAGAAGGGGGGGGGAAACAATCTAAAAGCAGATCATGCCTGAGGGAACCCATGCTTCTGCCTAACTATCCCTCAAAAACAGAAATCAGATCACCTTTTTTTGTTTGTTGTTTGGAGAAGCCAAGCTAGAAGGAAATTTGATAGGTGGAGCTGAAGGAGGAGGGGCGAGCAGCATCATATTCCTCCTAAGAGGTGGGTTGGCTTTTCCTTGCTCCAGAAGAGTTAGTAGCCTGGAGGGAGCCTCTAGGGTGGAGTCTGCTCTATCTTCATCCTGTAGAGTTCTCCTGTCAGTAGCAGAACTTTGTTGAGATCAGCAGAGGAGGGACAATCGCGTTCTTCTCAAAGTTCCATGCCGAGGCTGCTCTCCTGCTCCCATTTTCAACCTTTCCACAATGGAAGTATCTACTGAGGCAAAATTGGGGTGGATGCTGCCGGCCCACCTGCCCAGTGGCAATTGGCACTACCAGTTTCGGATCCTCCTGCTGGGTGATTCCACCGTGGGCAAAACGTCCCTGCTGCGGCGATACACGGAGCGATGCTTCATCCCAACCCCGTGTCCCACCGTGGGTGTCGAGTTCTACAGCAAGATGATGGAGCTGCCTCCAGGAATCAGGGTGAAGCTTCAGCTCTGGGACACTGCTGGTCAGGAGAGGTTCAGGTAAGGAGAACCCAGAAGGGTGCTAAATGATTCCAGATTGAAATGTTTTAGCCTCGGGCAGGACAAAAATGTTTCAGAGCAAGGGATATTTAAAGGGCAAAACATTGGGCAAGCTGTAAGGGGAGCCCCAGGCAGAACTGAAGCAGAACAAATGGTGGGAAACTGATGGTGGTATCTTTCTAGAAGAGTAGGCTTGGCACCTCCCCAGACCTAAAATGGCCAGCCATTACCACCATGCTCTTGAATTCTTACGTTGCTCCAAAAGTGGGAACCATATAACAATAACAGAGTTGGAAGGGACCCTGGAGGTCATCTAGTCCAACCCCCTGCTCACACTGTACTAGGGATTCGAACCGCCGAACTGCCACCCTTTCTGATTGACAAGCTCAGTGTCTTAGCCACCTAGTCAGGCTGTTGTTATGAAGGTGTTGGACTATGAGCGAGAAAACATAGATTCTAGCCCCTCCCCCACCCACAGAAGGTCTTCAGGGAACTTAGTCCAGTTAGTCTCTCAACTCCTACCGAATGGAGTTGTTGTTGGGAAAATGGGAAAGGGTTGTTATGAGCTCCTGGAGGAAAACTGATATAAACCTACCAAATAATAAATTAAAAAAACAAAAACAAATTGGATGTCCTGCTGAGGACCACAACTTCACCTGACAAGCGTCATCAGTAGGGGTGTAAGAGAGAAGGCCTGGGAAACTGGTGACAAATTATGAACAACCTTACATATTTTCCTTCGGAAACTTTCAGAAACCAGGGTTTCTCAGCTATCAACCTCAGAAGGCACAAAATACTTGTGCAGCAAATAAGCTGCAAACTTCTGCTTCTGAAGTTCTGATTTATAGATTTACCTTCTGTAAACAGTGAAAAAGATTGACCACACAGAGCTTAGGAATTGTCACTCTTAAGAGTTGCCCCAACATTTAGGTGGAGATTGAGATCAGGGGTATCCAACCTTGGCAACTTTAAGACTTGTGGACTTCACAACTCCCAGAATTTGGGAGTTTGCTGGGTGAAGAATTCTGGGAGTTGAAGCCCACAAGTCTTAAAGTTGCCAAGGTTGGAGATCCCTGATCTAGATAACTTCCTTTTCTTCAAAATGTGATAATCCAGTCACCTTCCTTAGGCTTGGAAGCTCTGCTTTCGTTAAGGAGGGTCCCTCCAACTTCTGCTTTTGTTGTAAATTAATCCCCTTGGAATGACTTGGCCTTGAGAGCTCTCCCCATCCTCCTCCTGATCACATCTGCTATCTGTTATCTGAAGACGTGTGGGGCAAGCAGCTGAAAGAAAGGGGGCCTGGGAGGGATAGGGTGTGATTGAAGTTGAGTTTTCAAGGCTAATCAGGAGATAGAAGAAAAAGGAGACAATGATGGAGCACCTTAAAGACATCCAATTTATTTTTCTTCACAGACTTAACTTGTGTGATCAGATTCGCAGAGTAATGGACTATGACCTAGTTAAGCTGATCTGATAATGAGTTAGTTGATGGTCATTAGGAGATTTTAGTTCCTGTTTGTGTTGTGAAACACTGGTGGGACTACCCCTTGGGAGATAAAAGGAGACACTTGTTTTGTTTTCATACACTTCTCATTGCTTCTGGTATATTTTTAGAGAAGGTGCCTGGCTAGGTGGCTCAGTGGCTTAAGACGCTGAGCTTGTCGATCAGAAAGGTCAGCAGTTTGGTGGTTTGAATCCCTATAGGTCTTCTGCATGAGCTGTTATGACCCAGGGCTAAGTAAGTAGTAGGAAAATCAGTCAGTGAAAAAACAAAAACTTTATTCGAACAACTGAGAATTACTTCATTCCCAGCATCGTTCAACTAAATTAAAGCAAATTCCTCCCAACACAAATTCCTCAGTCCTATCCCAAACCTTGGTCCAATTAGGCAAACTGCCAAAGGCCTTTCTTGGCAAACGTTCAGAAGTCACAGATACAAAAATAAATACAAGATGTAGAGGAAGAAGAAGATGAAGCTACCAACATTGTTTTCCAGCAAACAGTGTTTGCAACAGGCCGTTGCTGGTCTGTTTTAAGCCTTATGGGAGGGGCCAATCATCTCTTGGCCCTACTCCTGAGTTGTCCTCTTTGCTTGAGCTGTTCTTGCCTTCTGGCAGCTCTTCTCATGCGTGCATTAGGAACAGGCTCCTCCTGTTCCTCTGCCTCACTCCTATCAGGCTCTGGAGGCTCTGGAGTCTGCACCTCACTCCCCAGTGGCCCTGGCCCCATCTCTGCCTCTGACGCAGAGCCCTCATCCGGGCCTTCCCCAGCCTCCAGGACTGGCCCGTGTTCTTCCTCAGCCTCATCGCTGTCCAACTCCACTGCCAGCTCCACAGGCTGCTGACGGATCACAACATGACCAGGGGGTTGGACTAGATGACCTCCAAGATCCCTTCCAACTCTGTTACTGTTATTATTCTGGATTACAGGTACCGGTAATTCTCAATTTACAGTCATTTGTTTTAGTAGCTGCTCGAAGTTAAACAGCACTGAAAAAAGTGACTGTTTTTGACACTTAGGAATATCGCAACATCCCCATTGCACGTAAGATTTATGACGGTTGCAGTGTCCCAGTGTCCCTTTTATGACTTTTTGACAAGCAAAATCAATGGGGTAGCCGGATTCACTTAACAACTGTGTTACTAATTTAACAACTGCAGTGATCCACTGAACAACAAGAAAAGTCGTAAGATGGGGCAAAACTCACTTAACGACTGTCTTGCTTAGCTGTGGAAATTTTGGTCCCTCAATTGCGGTTGTAAGTCAAGGACTACCTGTACGGGATCCAGGCTAGGGACATTGTTCAGGAGCAAATCACTTTGCATGCCCAATGCCCCAGGTTCAGTGGCCTCCCCACACCAAGATACTGTCTAGTTTCTGTTCCTTACTTTTCTTTTTATAACACACATACAGAAATGTTGGTAATATAATCTGGGTTAGTTACAAATGGCATCTCTGTGTATTGCTTATTGGAAGGCAGTCTGAAGCAGGCAGTTATAAGCATTATAAAAACACTATCAGTTCTGTAATTCATAATTCTTATGTAGAACTGGTGCTGGCTGCTGATTTCCAGCAAAAATGCTCCATAGCAAGCGACGGTTTGCTTAATGGCCTCCGCCAAAAAGTTTGTAAAATCAGACAAGGTCACGTGGCTTAGGGCTCAAATTGCAGGCTCAATTACAGTCATAAGTCAGGACTATCTGTATATCATCTCAATGGATTTCACCTCTGTTTACATCTAAAAAATAAATTGCTTTGCAAACACTACTGCAGACCAAGGTCAGCGGGCGCATGATGGATGGTAAGAGTTAGTATCCAGACAAGTGCTTCAACAAATAGCTCTGATATCCTGCAGTAGTAGTAGTAGTAGTAGGTCATAGACCCAGACAACATACAAACCACAGCATAACAGACATAATAAAAAGTCTTAGAATAGTGCTTAGTTTACACAGCTATCAGAAAAGCATGAGTTCTACAGGCTACCGAGTTACTTCAGGATATTTACTTGCCAAGCAAAGTTGTACATAAAAAAACCTAGAAAGAGATATTAGTAGTTTATCATGAATATCTTGCTATACTGTATATATAATATATATAATATACCGGTATATTAATGAAGATTAATGTCTGCTGGAATAATTCTGTCCTCTAGATCAGGGATCTCCAAACGTGGCAACTTGAAGACTTTGTGGCAGGAGTGAAATTAAAAAATTTCCCCTACCAGTTCTGTGGGCGTGGCTTGTTGAGGGGAGGTCATGTGACTGGGTGGGCGTGGCCAATTCGACATCACTCACATCGAGGGGCTCCTCACTGGCCCCTCCCCTCCCAGCCACTCCTTGTCGCGAATGGCAGGAAAATGGGGAAAGGAATATTCCTGCCTACCATCCTACCCTCAGTCTGTGCTGAGATTGAGGAATGGATGACAGGCAGGAAAATCCCCTTCCCCATTTTCCTGCCTTTCACAAAAACGGCTCCATTCCAGCTGCTCCCCCGCCGTCCCCCTCCCTCCTGGGGACTACCTTAAAGGGACAGGCTGCAGCAGCTCCGTTCTGAAAGGAGGGAGAAAAGTTAGCATTCTCTCTGCTGCATTTAACGTTGAATTCTGTGAAATATCGAGCTGCTGGAAGAGGTGAGCAGCGACCGGCCAGGCATGGGTGGGATCAAGGAGGGGTAATTACTACCGGTTCGGTGAACTGATGCCCATAATCCCTAGCGGTTCGCCCGAACCGGTCTGAACAGGTAGGATTTCACCCCTGCTTTGTGGACTTCCAGAATTCTGAAGTCTTAAAGTTGTCAAGTTTGGAGAACCGTGCTCTAGATAACTCTGCTATCTTGGAGAAAAAACTAATGTTTCAATTTGGCATTTCCCCCCCTTCTTAGGTGCATCACCAGGTCCTTCTACCGCAATGCGGTTGGTGTGCTGCTGATCTTTGATATGACCAATCGAAGATCCTTCGAGAGCATCTTTGATTGGTACAATGAGGTGACCAACGTGATGGACAAAGTAATTTTCCTCCTAGTTGGCCACAAGTGCGATCTTGAGTCCATGAACAGGGTCACCCTGGAGGAAGCAGAGGGCTTGGCTACTTCTCTAGGCACATCTTTTATAGAAACATCTGCCAAAACTGACACCAACATAGACCTGGCTTTTGAGACCATCACCAATGCTATCTACGAGGCTCTGAGAAACAAAGAGTTTGACCTACAGGAAGGCTGGGATGGCGTGAAGATTGTTTATAAGAGGAGAGCAAGCAGTCTGCAAAGGAAGAAGCCATCCAAAGCAGCATGCCAGTGTTAACCCAGTTAGTCTGCAAAGGAAGAAGCCATCCAAAGAAGCATGCCAGGGTGAACTCAGTTAGAACTGGACGTTACAGGACACTGGTTACTCAAAATAGAATTCTTCCTTAGACGAAATACAGACTTAATCCATTGGGTTAATCCTTACCCAAATGAGACCATCCACAACCTGTGACCCCAATTACTTTATTACCTCCTCTGCAGTGGTGAAATTCAAATTTTTTTACTACTGGTTCTGTGGGCGTGGCTTGGGAAAGATACTGTAAAATCCCCATTCCCTCCCCACTCCTGGGGGAAGGATACTGCAAAATCTCCATTCCCACCCCAGTCTGGGGCCAGACAGAGGTAACATTTGCCTGTTCTCCAAACTACTCAAAATTTCCGTTACCGGTTCTCTGAACTACTCAACATTTTCGCTACCGATTCTCTGAACTACTCAGAATTTCTGCTACCGGTTCTCCGAACTACTCAGAATTTCTGCTACCGGTTCTCCGAACTACTCAAAGTTTCCGCTACCGGTTCTCTGAACTACTCAGAATTTCTGCTACCGGTTCTCCAGAACCTGTCAGAACCTGCTGGATTTCACCTCTGCTCCTCTGGAGCTCTTTCTGACCTCATCATCTCAGATCTTGTTTCCTGTTAAAAATCAGTGATACATTTTTTCTGTTGTTTTTAGATACAAAAGAGATGGGCATTGTTGTTGTTGTTGTTGTTTTTTTAATTCTCAACTTAAAATATTTTTTAGCATCAAAAACTAAAAAGATATCACAAATGAAGGCAAATATATGTGTCCCAGGATAAGGTTGCAGGATCCAATCTTTTTTTTTTTAATTTGATTTATATGCCGCCCTTCTCCGGAGACTCAGGGCGGCTTACAATGCGTTAAGCAATAGCCTTCATACTTTTGTATATTTATACAAAGTCACCTTATTGCCCCCACAAACTGGGTCCTCATTTAACCTACCTTAGAAAGGATGGAAGGCTGAGTCTTGAGCCTGGTGAGATTTGAACTTGCAGTAATTGCAGACAGCTGGTGTTAATCACAATGCTTTTTAGTCTGCTGAGCCACCAGGCCCAATCTGGGTCGATCACTGGAGGTTTCCGTTTCCCAGCTTTCAGACTTGTACTGGAGCCCATCCTCAGGGAACATCTCTCTCCCCAGAGGATGGGCTCCAGCATGAGTCTGAAAGCTTTGAAGATTAAACCTCTGGTCCTGGTGACCGACCGATTGGATCCTAAAAAGAGATCCCCCCCTCAGCCCACTTTCACATCGCTATCCTGTTAATTGCAGTTCATAGTCCCAACCTGCACAGGTTTTCTATGTCCTCATTCATCCAGCCGCTAGCTTGGCTGATGGGAGATGGAAGGGATAAATTATGAGAAGGATTGCCAGACAGACAGATGTAGTTGTCAGACCTGCCCCGGCTTAATCCTCTAGTTAAGAAAGATCCTCGACTCCATTTGCAGTGAAAGATATACTTTAATTAAAGCCAAGTGGTTTACAATGTAGCAAAGCCAGAACTGAAATTCACACGCCAAAACTCCTTGATTAATGCCCTCCGCTCAGTTCCCTTCCTCCTTTGGTCCCTCACTGTCCAATTGTATTTGAATAAATTGTTTTGGGAACTGTCTGTGAGCCGTTCCATTCCACTCCCAGGGTTTGACCTTGAGATGTTGTCTCTGAAAGGTAGGATGAGTAGTTAGTTCTTCCCCAATCCCATCCAGCTCCTTCCTCCCCGTAGTTCATGGCAGACCGGCAGCTGGTGAATGCGAAGCTCAAGCGTACGATGGCAGTTCTGACAGCAGTACTCAGATGGTTTAAGAAATGTCTGCTGAGTCAGGATGTGGCTTAAAGACGCCGCACTAATCCCAATACCATTGTGGAGCTTCCTTCTGGATTTTGTGGGTTAGAAACAGGTTATTTCCATTAAAACACTTTTGCTCCATTCAGCTGCCCTGACTCCACTCCGCAAGAGATTATGGGATCGTTAATTGAAGATGATGCAGTAGTGGATTCACTTACTGTTACTACCGGTTCGCAAATGTCAGGGCGTGTGCAGAGTGTCCGTGATGACATCTGGGTGAGTGAGCAGAGCCTCCTACTGCCGTCGCTACCGGCTCGCCCGAACCAGGTAGAACCAGTAGAAACCCACCACTGAGATGATGATGATGAAATAGGTTCTTTCCATTATTCAGTACAGACCTTATTGTATAGACCTGGGAGATGAGCTGGAGAGAATCTTGTGTTTCTCAAACCTTTTGAAACTGTCTTCATTTCCACCATGTCCACCACCTCCTTAACTTAAACTTAACTTTAAAAAAAATTCTGAAAATATTTAATGTAAAAATATTTACTTCCTTTTTAAAACAGTAATAATAATATATATACTGTATATAATAATATGTATGGCTTTGTCTATTGTCATGGTCTTCACTGGCCCCTTTTCCATGCTGAGTAGTGCTCAAAGCATAATAAACCATCTCTCGGTGTGTAATTCTTGAAATGAAGGAAACAAGGGTTTAAAACATTGTTCTGCCTATTGCTGAAGGAAAAGTGATGCTTTCTCTGGGTTTGATAGGTAAACAATAACCCTAACTCTAACAGTAAAATAAAAATAAAAAACTTCCTGAGTTGAAATCCACTTGTGATCTGTTGGGGACACCTCTCTACAGCTTCCAGGTGATTTGGAGGTGGTTTTCCTGTATTTTCTTGGGGTGGGTTGCTTGACTTTCCCAGTTTAGCCCACAGCAGATGGATTTCCTACTGGTCTCTCAAAACATTATGGACCGGCTCTGCTTGCTTGCTTTCTAGATTGCTTTCAGTGTAAATCACCTTTTGTAGAGATATGGTGGCGCAGCGGTTAGAATGTAGTATTGCAGGCTAACTCCGCCCATCGCTAAGAATTCAATTCTGAGCAGCTCAAGGTTTTCAACTTACAAGCACAATTGAGCGCCAAATTTCTGTTGTTGTGATACTTTTGTTAAGTGAGTTTTGCCACATTTTACAACCTTCCTTGCCCCAGTTGTTAAGTGAATCACTGCAGTTGTAGGTCACAAAAGGGAATCATGTTCCCCTGGGACACAGCAACTGTCATAAGTGTTTGAATCAGTTGCCAAGCATCTGAATTTTGATCACCTGATCCTGGGGATGCTGGAATGGTCGTAACTGTGAAAAACGGTCGTAAGTCACTTTTTTCAGTGCCATTGTAACTTTGAACGGCCACTAAATGAACTGTTGTAAGTCGAGGACTACCTGTATTTTCTATCTCACAGCCTTGCCGCATATATGTACTGCCTTTTTAAAGGGGGCATCTACTTCCTGTAAACTGGCTTTCTCCGTGACTGCAATATATCAAATGCGTGCAAAGACACACATACAGTGCATGTGCATCAACATATAGACAGAATTGGCTACTGATTAGGCCACCACATGTTAGCCTAGCAGGAACCGGCCTCTGGGGTATTTAGATCTGGCCTGTGGGGCTGCCCTGGAAACAGTGAAGGACTGGCCCATGGAGCTTCTACCAGCGAAAATGGGCTCCCAAACTCCGTTTTCGGCTGCCACAGCCTTCTGCTACCCTCTGCCAGTTAAAACGGAGCTCGGGAGGGCCGCGTGCAGCCCTCATGGGCTCAGTTTTCGGCTGCGATGGCCTCCTGCAATCCTCTGTGGCCCTCCCGAGCTCCGTTTTCACTGGCATCGGGTTGCAGGAGGCTTTGGCAGCCAAAAACAGAGCTTACGGAGCCCGTTTTCGCTGGCAGAGCACTTGGGCCACTACAGGCGCCCCTGACATGAGTGATGCCATGCCCACCCCGGCCCCCCAAGGTGAAACACAACCTTTACTACCGGTTTGCAACGGGATTGTACGTGCGCGCTTGTTTCGCTTGCTTCTGCATATGCACAATTTGCCAATGATGACATCTGGGGCGGTAGGCGGGCCCCCCCACCAGTTTTACTACCAGTTCTTGTGAACTGGTCCGAACTGGGGGCAACCCATCACTGGTCAGGTGTGTAGACATTTTGGCTGCATTTACACAACATTCTCGTCTTGAGTTTTGGGACTTTTGTTTCCTCTCCTGTCTAAGGAGGCTGCTTTGATGCCCCAAGGAAGAGAAACCTTTTTTTTTTTTTTTGAAGTCTGGAATGCAGGTGAAATGTGTTTGTGCGTAGCCTGGCTTGGCCTTGGATAAACCCGGCCCATTTTCAGGGAGGAGCAGGACAGGGAGAGCCTGCACGCATCCTGCCTCCCTTAGGAGCAGCCTGCCTGCCCAAACATGGAATAAGAGAGCCACAGCCTCAGGCAGTCAATGGGAGAGCAACTACCGGCGCTAATCTCAAACAAGTCTCAACCAGTTTCCTACCCTGGGTTAGAACTCAGCTTTCCCCACTGCTTGGGACTGGATTGGAGAGTGTTCCTGTTTGTTTTGAGTCAGCATGAGTCTTCTTGCTCCGCTCCACCGGTGCCCGTGCGTGCATGCTCACAGACCCACACCGACCCAGGCACACGCCAGATAGCAGCTTCCAGGGTCTCTCTCTCTTTCTCTCTCTTCCAAGCCTCCCCATGGCTGTGGATTCTCCGTGGGATTATCAGTTCCGGATCATCATGCTGGGCGATTCCACGGTGGGGAAATCTTGTCTTCTGAAGCGCTACGCCGACGGGGTCTTTGCGGAGTCCATGAACCAAACGGTGGGGGTGGACTTTTATGTCCACTTTCTGGAGATCAGGGATCCCAACCTGCATATCAAGTTGCAGTTTTGGGATACGGCGGGCCAAGAACGGTTCAGGTGAGTCGCGGGGAAGAAAGGCTGGTCTGGGGTCTCTTTCAGCCCAAAAGGGTCAGGAGTGATGGACTTTTTCCAAGCCTTGGAAGATGTTAATGAGATGAGATGACGGAGCCTGGAAAAGGAAGGGAGGCTTAAGCTTTGCTTCCTCTTCCTTGTTTGGAGGAGTAAAAACTTCAGATTCCCAGCATTGTTTTTAGTTAGATTCTCATAGAGCAGGGGTCTCAAACTCGAGGCCCACGGGCCGAATCTGGCCCATGGGGTTCTTAGATCTGGCCCGTGGAGCTGGCCTGGAAACAGCAAAGGACCGGCCCGCGGTGCCTCTGCAAGTGAAAATGCAGCTCGGGGGACCCCCTGTGTCATCCCCCCGCACTCCATTTTCACTTGCAGAGGGTTGCAGGAGGCTGGTGCGGCTGAAAATGGGGCGTGGCGGCCCCCCCAAGCTCCGTTTTCACTGGCAGAGGGTTATCAAAACAAATTAAAAACAAAACAAAAGGAGAAATGTTTCCCCTTTTGCATTTGAGCATGCAAGAAGGGACAGGAAAGGAGAAAGGGAAAGAGGAGAGACGAAGAAAAAGATGGGAAGAGAGCAAGGAAGGAGAATGAAGAGGGAAGGAAAAAGAAGAGAAGGAAGGAAGATTATAATGAGAATGAGGGAGGGTCTCAGGGAAGTCCTGCCGTAGCACTTGGCCACTACAGGTGCCCCCCAACACGAGTGGCCACACCCACCCTCCACCCCGGCCATGTCCCCTCACCCAGCCCTACCGTCATGTAGCCCTCATTGAAATCGAGTTTGACACCCCGTCATAGAGTACGAAGACAGTCAATGTAATGTACGGGCAGTCCTCGACTTATGACAACAATTGAACCCAAAATGTATGTCGCTAAGCAACATGAGTTTTGCCCTATTTTACGAACATTCTTG